GCTATTGATCTTTCAACTCAAAGATGTAATGATAATAATCCCTGCATTTGACATAGCGCCTTATCATGTCTTCGAGATGTCTCAAAGCACTTCACAGAATATACTCTGATGTGAATTGTATTTTGGGGGCGAAATGGTGCAACCAATTGAACACAGTAGTGTCCCACAAACAGTCATTGATTAAGTGACCATTTTTTTTTAATATCAGTGAGGAAAGATAACATCAGATGAGCCAAAGGACTTTCTTCATCCAAACCGATCTTGTGATTTCTGCACTAACCCACCATTATGAACCAAAATGAGTTTTTGAAACTCATTTTATTCAGGAGATTGTTTTTTTCTTAGGAAAAAACATAAAAACAGTCCAAAATGCCAGTTTACATTCAAAGTCTGCCAGCGTCCTAATAATAATAATAAATATATATAGAACTCTCACAGGAGGTCCACAAATATACAGTCAATTCGCTTTACATGATATTCTGTGAAGCGTTTTAAGACGTCTCGAAAGCGTGATAAGGCGCTATATCAAATGCAAAAATTATGATGATAATATTAATAATCCTTGCATAGCGCCTTATCACATCATCAAAAAGTCTCAAAGGGCTTCACAGAATATATTGTAAAATGAATTGACTGTGTATGTTTGTGGGCGCCCTGTGAGAGTTATATATTTTTTCTTGTTTTTGACAATGTATTGCGTGATTAGCATGATTAGAATATTTTCAAAGCCGTGGCCAAAATTCAATATTAAACAGATTAGCGCGAGGGGATCAAGCGTGGTTTAATACAGTGCGAGCGTGATTCCTATTAAGTATTAATATGTAGAAATCACAAGCTCTCGGAAACTTCTTCAGGTAGAGAGCCATTAAATGTCACCTCGCCACAATAAACCAATTCATCACGCAAATTGCCTTCTCCCAAAATTAGCGGCGTTTCTGTATCTGGGCCCTTTATGAATTTATGTAGGAGGCATTGCGGAGATTGATGAAATGTGTGAATAGCTGGAAGCTCAGCAGACAAGGGCAAATGAATGTGGTAACTATTTCTACACTAACCCTGGTGGTGCTATTGTTTGGTGTGGTTTATTACGTCCTTACTGGACAAAAGACGCGTAGAAATAAGATTCACGTTTCACAGCCAAACCATCCAAACTATTAGGTTTGACCCATTTTTGTACTCTGTCATGGAAATCAATTATTTATTTTCTGGAGTAATTTTCATCCATTGATCAGGTTGGGCTCTCGTTTGCCTACTGACTCTGATGCGCGTGTAAAGGAAATCCCTTGCATTTATATCAAAGAGAATTAGTTCCACCTGAATTCACCCCACAACGGACCGAATGGCCTCCTTCTGTGCTTTATTATCTACGGAAACACCAATTATTTCCTTTCCTTGATTCAGAGTCTCTTAATAATAATCCTTGCATATAATACAACGCCTTATCATGTTGTCATGACACCTCAATGCGCTTCACTGGAGTTACTGTGAGTTGTGGTGGCTGTACATTTGTAGATGAACATGGCAGCTAATTTGCACATAGCGATGGCTTACAAAAAGGCATGATTGATTTTAATTCAGAGATTATTGATCGGGACACCTTTTCAACTAATGGCATGGGATCTTTAACATCCACCTGAGCGGTCACAGATGGAACCTTGGATTAACATCTCATCCAAAGGACGGCACACCTGGCAGTGCAGCACTCCCCCACCACTGCACTGCAGCGTCAGCCCAACAAACCGTCTTCAGGGGATTAACAGTACTGAGAGCCCGAACTGTGGCAAATGTTGTTTAAGTGAAGGACTCATAAATAATCATAAATAATAATCTGGTCACTCAATCCACGACTGTTTGTGGGACGCTGCTGTGTGCAATTGGCTGCCGCATTTCGCCCACAAAACACACAGTCAATTCACTTGAAGGTATATTCTGTGAAGCGCTTTGAGACGTCTCGAAGATGTGATAAAGCGCTATATCAAATGCAAGGATTATTATATTATTTATATTCAAAGTGTGATATGCAGGGCCCCAATACTGGATTCTTATAATCACGTCGGAAAAAAATACATCCACACAATGCTTGTACATATACAAATGCATTGCTTGCATTGTCCCAATGGGCCTTTAAAATGCTTTGGCAATGCAATATGATATTGTACTTCAAAAACAGCCTTGCGGTATCGAATGGGAAACACCAATACTGCCGCAGTTTATTATTGACAGCCTCTCCAATTAGAACAGCTTTGGACATCCCTGTGCTCTGCAACTGGAAATGGCTGGGTCTCGCTCAGTTCTATTCACTGACAAACATTAAATAAAATCGCTGCTGTAGTAATAATAATCCTTATATTTGATACAGAGCCTTTTAAAATGGAAGGGCGTCTCAAAGCACTTCACGGGATTTATTATGAGGTGCAGTGATTGTGTATTTTATAGGTTAAAGCGACAGCTAAGTTGCACAACAGCAACGTCCCAAAAACAGCCATGAAGTGAATGACCAATTTGATTTGGGGCTTTGTGCGCCAGGACACCAGGAGAAAGAAACTCCCTTCCCTTTTTGGGTGATACAATGGGATCATGAACATCCACTTGAATAGGCAGACGTGAACTCAGTTTAACGTCTCAAAGGATAGCACCTCTGACAATATATCTCAGCTGCAGCAATGCAGTGGAGTGTCAATAGACCAAATGAGTTCAAAGTCCCAATGTAGGGGTTTGATCCCACAACCTTCTGACTCAGAGGTGAGAGTGCTACTGACTAAGCCAGGCCAGCACACTGTGTAGTCACTGTATGTGTCCTCTGTACCAGGAGGCCAGAAATTCCACCTGGCCTAAGCCACGTTGACCTGAAATTTAAGGTGGCACAAAAATTGTGGAAGATTCTTTAATTCCGCCTTAATTTGGTCAGTTCTTTTGCAAGCAAACCAGCCCCCAAATGAAGGTATTATTTTCCAACATTCTTACATTCTAATGTGAGATACAAATCTCCTGGGCTAAGACCCAGGTGGAATTTCAGCTCACTGAGGCGTGGAATGCTCTCAATGTGCCCTTTGCCCTCACCCCCAAGTGTGGATGGAGTTGCATTCTCAACGTGGTCCTGTTTTCCTGTTTAGGTGGATGTTAAAGATCCCTTGGCGCTATTTGAAAAATAAAGAGTTTCTCCCAGTGTCTTTGTCAACAATCCCCCAAATATATCGATTTCATGTCTGTCAGTTCGTGTTTGTTTGAGACATTCCTCTTAATGTGAAAGGCACTATACCAAATGCTATATATATTTATGTGTGTAAAAAAAGACACCCGTATTCAATGTAGTCGGTAAGTGTGGGAGTAATGGAGAGTAGGGGAGCGGTGTTACGAATTAGGAGATGATAATTACGACTAGTGCAAAGAAAGTTAAGTGATTTGATGGGAAACTGAATGGGGCTCAAATGAATATATGACCTAGACGATTATGCGATTGATAATGAGACTCAGGCGAGTTTTACTGTAATCGCCCGCAAAAATATACAGTCGATTCACTTTACAGTATATTCTGTGAAGCGCTTTGAGACGTCTCGAAGACGTGATAAGGCTCTATATCAAATGCAAGGATTAGTATTATTATTACTCAGAATCTCAGCCCAGTGATAAGCCTGAGAGACAAACACAGAACCTGTAAACTTTGTCCACTTGCCTCCAACGAACATCAGTGGAAATGAAGCACCAGTTTCCTAGCTCCAGCTAAACAGGGAATAACGTTTGTGCAACCGACTTTTTTTTCATTTCCCACACATCGCTTCTTACACCAGTCAATTCCTCTCCCCTCTCCGCCCCCACCCCCCCCCCATCACCTCACTCTTTTTTTCTTCACGATTCACTCGCTTCCATTTTAATGACTCGAAAGCCACAGCTTTCATTTGCCAGACCAGCAGAGCAGGAAGTGTGTGTTAAAAAATAAACCTGACAGGAGAGATCAACAGTGTCACGTCTAGAGTGCTGTTTATACTATCAAAACCTCATTCTCAGCTAATGCCTTACAAACACGTCTTGCTGTGGAACATCGTAAAACAGCCCCCAAACCACTTGCAGTTAGACTCCGAGCTGACAGTGGCTCTCAGTGCAGTGACTGCCTTGAGGATCTTTTGTTCCATTGCTTCTTGTCATAAGGGTTTCGTGCTCCAATCTGTCACTTATACATAAATAAACCAAACCAGGCTGGATGAATGCACCCAATAATAATAATGTACTTTTGTTACAGAGCCTTTCACATCAGGAGAGTGTCTCAAACCGTCTCACAGGATGTATTGTAAAATGTAGTGACTGCATATTTTGTGGGTGAACACGGCCATCAATTTGCATGCAGTGACATCCCACGTACAGCTATGGGGAGTCCATTAGGTTTTAAGAGGAAAGTAGCCAGGCATATGAAAGAGAGGACCATTGAGGAGTATGGAATGAAGTGTGGCTAGTGCGATTGATTGATCTCCCTTGCTCTGTGATAGGCCGAACGGCCTCCTTCTGTGCTGTAGATTTCTAGGTTTCTACGTTTGGAAGTGAATGAGAGATATTTTACAATACCTGGGGCGTGGCTGTGCCCAACCTGGCGGCACATTCACCTTCAAAACACACAATCACCTCAACTTGACAACAAATCCTGCAAAGCTCTTTGAGTCATTTCTTCCTTACGGACGCTGGATCACTTTCTACATCTCTATTCACTTTACAAACTTTTATAAGTGGATCGCTTTATTAAAAAAAAGTCTCTGTATAAACCCTACACTGTCCAGGGCTTTGGGTCGTTCTCCCGGCGAGAGAGGCTACATGAATATAAGTGTAATTTGTGGTTGTTGTTGTTGGATCAAACACGAGGCTGACTGTCGCTGTTGTTATTTCTCCGAAGGGAAGAAATATGGTCGCGTGTTGTGTTTCGAAGAACCACAGGCACAATGGCCCCAGCCAGCCTGGCACACAAGGGGTTAACTCCACCCGGCTTGACCTGGCCTGGGTGGGGCTGGACTGACCTGTAATGGTGGCTGAGGCCTGTGTCTCCTCGTTCAGGAGCTGGTTCCTTACGATGCAGGTGTACGTGCTGTTGGGTTCCAGCGTGACGCTGATCACGCTGCTGATCTGGAAGAGACCCTCTTCGTTGGCCACTTGGGAGGTGGTGACATTGGCCGTGAGGTTGTTTCCCCTCCCGTCGTGCCACACCACGATGGCCTGAGGGTAGCCGCCCGCCGAGTGACAGCCAATGCTGACCCGGTCCCCGGGCTTCAGGTTTTTATTTGGCTCCAAATGGAGGTTTGGCTTGGAGTACGGAGCTACAAGGAAACAGTGTAATGTTAGCGCGATCAGCAAAGGCAACTCACACTAACACAAACACCCGCACACCTACATGCACACCCATACATACGCACACACACATAAACACACACACATGCGCACACACCCACAAACACACGCCCACACACACGCGCACACACGAATGCACCTCACTCCACATACATGGAAGTACATAAGAAATTCTAGACGAAGAGAAGACCGAGGTCCATCTACCACTTCCTCTTTATAAACCCTTCACCTTCCATCTTCCAGCCAGTCACATTGCACATATGTCTTGAACTACCTATGTACTGTATCCCGTAATATTATTTCCTAAATACCACATACATTCACTGCACCATCCTCACACACACATAAACTCACCTCACATACTACATATACGTCCACATTCCCACTTACACACATAACCTTATACAAACACACATACACAGCACCACAAACATTCACTTCACCACCTACACACGCACATAATCTCATACACTCACACACCTCACTCCATACCCACCTTATGTACTGCATATAAATCCACATGCACACATAACCTTACACAAACATACACCTCACTCAACATACAAGCAACAAATACATTCAATCACCACCACATACACATGATATCATATACACACACACCTCACTCCACACCCACCACACGTATCACACACACACACACACACACTAGGCCACACATACACACATAACCTCACAAACGTACACACACTGTCATTTTTGACCTGACACCTGAGGCTGCCAGTGACAGAGACACCAGAAATGTGACGGTTTCACTGGCTGCCCTTCATTAGAGGCAATATTGCTGTGCGCAGATGGGCTGCCAAGTTTGCCTACAACGCACACAGTCTCTTCACTTGACAGTAAAATCTTGTGAAGAGCTTTGAGGTGCCTGGATAACATAATAAGACATTTGTGACAAGGTGGTTATTATTTTTGGTGATTCCACTAACAATAACACAAAATAAAGCCATGATAAGGCACTATATCAAACGCTAGGATTATTATATTATACAACAACATCTTGCATTTATATAGTGCCCTTCACGTGGGGTAGTGTTCCGGAATGCTTCGCCGTGGTGGAGTCTGACCCCGAGCAGAAGAGGGTGTGGGGTGGGGAGGTGACCAGCATGATCAAAAAGGATGGTCTTTAGGTGTGATTTGAAGGTGGGGAGGGAGGGAGTGAGGTGGAGGGATTGAGGGGAGAGTTCCAGAGTTTCAGGGTGCAGCAGCTGAAGGCACGGCCACCGATGGTGGAGCGGAGGGGACGAGGGACAAACAGGAGGTCGGAGCCGGCAGGGCGGAGGCAGCGGGTGGTGGACTGGAGTGGGGTGGGGGGGGGGGAATAGGCAAATAATAATTATAGTATTGTTACAATAATAAAGTACCTGCCACTTGCAGCATGATGGGGGCGCTGTTGTAATCGTTGATTCGAACGAAGCAGGTGAAGCTGCCCTCGTCCTGGATTTGAACCTGCCTCAGGAGCAACGAGGCATTCCCCCTCTGCAGCTCAGTGTGAAAGAGAGACGTCCTGTTCGTAAAGCTGCTGGCCTGGTCCACCTGCTGGTCACGCTGGGCCGCGTAGCTGTGCACCATCCTCTTGGTTTCCGTCAGCTGCCATATCACGCTGAGGTCCGACAGGGAGAAATTGCCGTCCGTCAGGAACGAGCAGTTCAGGGTGATGTCCTCCCCGAAAATGCCCAGCACTGGGAATTCTGGCACCAGGATGTTCAGAGCCCCTGAAAGAAATCCAGCAATGTGCAATGTTAGCTCGGGATGGGGGTGGGGGTACCAAATGAAACTAGTCAGCCTGGCGCGACAGTAGCACTCTCGTCTCTGAGTCAAAAGGTTGTGGGTTCAAACCCCCAAGTGGGGACTTGGAATCACCGTAGTCTAAGCTAACGCTCCCAATGCAGCGCTGGGGGTGGTGTTACATTGTCGGAGGTGCCGTCCTTCAGATGAGACGTTAAACCGAGGTCCCGTCTGCCTGTTCAGGTGGATGTTAAAGATCCCACGGCTCTGTTCAAAACGAGAAGGGAGTTTCTCTCTCCCGGTGTCCTGGCCGACAATCCCCCCAAATAAAAGAATATGGGTCACTCACTCCATGGCTGTTTGTGAGACGCTGCTTGTGGAGAGCTCTTAAATTCTCTGTTAATTTAGAGGCCGGTTTTCTGCCGTTCTTGAAAAGAACCAAACGGGGAGAAAATCGACCCGGGTCTGGATTCACTCTCTTCATTTTAGGACATCCAGTGTTTGGTAAATTCTCGAACAGGGACTGAATTTTGGAACTGTTTTTTCTGCAAGTTCCTTTAAGAAACTAAAGAAACCAGCTTCAAAAGGCAGATTGAATTTGGCAATGTGCCAACTCCTGGATGTTCTGAAACACTTTGTTATTAAGAGTAAATCTAGACCCATGTGGATCACCAACAAGTGGATTGACCTTCATTGCTCAGACCTCGATGCTTGGAAGCCTCTGGGTTTCCAATACCCAAAGTTACAGTCTTCATTATATCTGCAGGAGAGATTTTCTGTGGAGTAAAGAAACTTGCCTAAGAATCAAGGCAATCAAACCCGAGTCCTCTCGCTTGCGAGGCAACTGCTCTACCCACTATACTACCGGATTCCACAATGCAACAACGATTCACATTTATATAGCATCTTTCACGTCTCGACAAAGACTGAGTAGAGCCCAAGCTGGGAGGGAGAATGGGGAGGGGAGACACAGGGACTGGCTAAAAACACAGGCAAAGGATTAAGTCATTTGGCGGATTTTGAAATCGGAGGGAATAAGCTGAGGCCTCGAGAGTGAAAAAATGCAGGAAACTCTCAGGAAAATCATTAATTTGAGAAAAGCAAGCATTATATTCAGGCAGAAATTGACCCGCAATCCTAACTAGATGTCTGTCACCCACTAATCGTTCCGCTAGTCCACACTTCAGAGAGAATCAGGCACTCCTGTCTTGGATCTACACGACAGCATGTTACATGCATACATCATCGATACAAAGCTCGCTGACACCCACCTCAATACCCACACAGGCAGCACAAAGCTCCCAGATGCTCACCACCCACCAGGCAGACTCATCACTGTCAAAAGGACATTTCATTTTGAACAGCGTCCAAATTTTCGTAGGACAAATTGGCTGGAAATTCGCTGAAGGGCTTAAAGTGGCAAATTTTCTTTTCTGAAAACAAAAAGCCCGTCCGTGTTTACGACGCCAACAAACAAATTGCAATCTTGCTTTGTTCGTTCAGACATCTCTCCTCTCCTTGTTCATTTTCACTGTGATTAAGTTCCGGAGTCCTGCGGCGTAGTAGTTAGTACGCTCACCTCGCAAGCGAGAGGACCTGTGTTCGATTCCCAGGCCGAGCGAAACCTTAGGTAAGTTTTTTTACTCAACACGCTTCTGCTTACCCAGCAGTAAATAGCAACCCGGTTGTTAGTCGATTGTCGGATCGCTTTCCAGGAATAATAAACCCTCAACAAAAAAAATCGGTCACTCAATCCACAACTGTTTGTAGGACACTGCTGTGCGCAATTGGCCTGCCACGTTTCGCCCACAAAATATGCAGTCAGTCTGCTTCACAATATATTCTGTGTAGCGCTTTGAGAAGTCTCAATGAGGCGAGATATCAAATGCAAGGATTATTATTATTATTTTCATTCCTCCACATGCCATATCCAACAATTCAGACAGTTGAGTATATGTGTGTGTGTGTATGTGTGTATGTAGGCCTGCGTCTGTATACAATAAGCTGTCTGGTGCATTCGCTGCTTTCTATGAATCCCATAGGGTTCCTGCAGTCCACAGCTGAGACACACTGATACAATAGGATTCGACAGCAGCAAATGAATTAAATGGTCGTGGCCAGCTCCCAGCTCAGCCTGAGAACCGCGTCCCGAAATACCACAGTGAGCGTTTATTTTCACAGTCGCCCAATCTCCGCCACTTCCAAACTCTTCTGTTTGGCATTTCACCGATGCTTCGAACACATTGCAGCATATCAGCCTGGCTCAGTCGGTTTAGCAGAGTCAGAAGGTGACGGGTTCAAGCCCCACGACAAAGGCTTTGAGCTCAATCTAGGCTGGCAATCCAGTACTGTGCTGGGGGTAGAGCTGCAGTTATGGTGGCCTTATGTCAAACAATTTGAGACCATCTTCCAATGCGAAAGGCGCAGTATCAAATGTACAGATTATTATCATGATGAATGCCAGTGAAGGCTTCCTTGACAATACCTGGGAACCGTGAATAAATAGTCCAGCATTAGTGTCCTATCTGCAGAGAGTTGTGTTCAGTTTCCATTGAATTATAAAGAACCAAGTCGATGTCACCGATCTTCTGGTTTCTCTCTGATCTCATTTAATAAGTCCACCTTTCGGGGTCCTGTATTCAAACGGGACAAGGTGTTGATGCATTTTTCCGAAGGTTTAAAGCCTGGGATTTGTTTACTGGCCTCGGGTGCTACTTGAATACTGAGTTTTGATCTGTATGCCATACGTTCAGGTTTCTTATTAGTCAGGCATTTCATAAACCAGCGGTTCCCATCCCCAGCAATAATTGTCAGCCGCCCGGCTCATCAGCCTTCCCTGCTCCTTCACTAACTAGAGGCTGGGCAAGTTGAACGCATGAACTTTGCTGGCAGTACATCAAACTTCCAGTGAAACGGCCTTGCTCCCCCACTACCTCTGCGACCTGCTAACCCCCTACCAACCTATGCGCTCCCTCCGCTCAGAGGGCTCCGGCCTGCTTCACGTCCCCTGCCTTGCCCTCCCTTACCATTGCCGGGCGGGCCTTCAGCATCTCTACCCCCACCCTCTGGAACTCCATCCTGCAGTCCCTCCGCCTCACCCCCTCTTTTGTCTCCTTCAAGATCAGTCTCAAGACTCTCCTCTTCAACTACGCCTTTGGTCACCTTTCTATCCCAACCTTCCCCACCCTCCACCCCTCCTGATCCCATCCACCAGGTGCGAATCCCTGACCTTGGGACATCCTCCTTATGTGGAAGGTGCTATACAAATGTAATTTGTTGTTGTTGTTGAAGCAGTCCGGACAGGATATTTGCTGTCTGCCCTTGGACAGCAAGTTCCCAATCACTGTGAAGTGGCATTGAAGTCTCTGGCATTGAATTCCATTGTTTCCTGACTCCTTCAGAGTCTCTGTATCATTATCTTCTGACGACGGAAAATGAGCCAGCGAAAGGAAAGAGATTGAGGAACAAGGCAGAAAGAGTCTGAGAGAAGAGAACAGATAGCATTGCCGGTGACTGACATACACCCTAACGGGAGGGGAGAAATTTCAATTGGCTTTACATTTAGATATCTTTGAGGATATCTGTGAGGACATCGAAGTTAAACTGAGTTTAAGATGGAGATCGTACATTCTACAGCTCCATGCAACTACATCACTCTGTATCCCTCACAATCATCTCTCAAAGCACAAGTACATTGAAGGAAAATAAAGCAATAGAATGAAGAGACTGGCTTTAATTGCCACTTCCGTTTAATTTTCATGTAAGCTTAAAGTCGGTCATCATTAAACTCACCAATCTTAATAGTAATCTTAGCATTTGATATATATTTCATGTCAGAACGATGTCTCAAAGCACTTCATAGGATTTACTCTTAAGTGTAGTGACTGTATTTTGTAGATGAATGCAGCAGCCAATGTGCTCACAGCAATGTCCCACAAATAGGCATGAAGTGAGTGGTCAATTTTATCTGTAGAATTGATGGTCAGGACACCATGAGAAAAAAACAACAAATTACACTTGTATAGCACCCTTCACGTTGGAAGGTGGTCTCAGGGTGCAGGACAATCAGGGGTTCTGGAGCAGAGCTGGGATCAGAAGGGAAGGAGTGCAGGGGGGTTGGGCGTAGGAGAGTGGCTGAAGGCAGTTGAAGGGCAAGGTCTTCAGTCGGGACTTGAAGGAGGCAAGAGAGAGGTTGAGGTGGAGAGACTGCGGGATAGGGTTCCAGAATGTGGGGGCAGAGATGCAGAATGCCCGACCGCCAATGGTGGAGCGGAAAGTGTCGGGGATCCTGAAGCAAGCTGGACTTGCTTCTCGATGGGAAAGCTCATCTTTGGGATAACCCTCGGTGTATCTTTGCTCATCAATGAATCGAATCGTCAGTGCCTGTTGAGAATGGGGATTTCAGCCGAGCATTTACCGATGTCTCAGAATGGTTTCCTGAAAAATCCCTTACAAGCTCATACCTCCTTGTGGATACAACAACAACTTTTATATAGTGGCCTTCATGCAGGCCCATGTCTCAGGGCAGCTTAACAGTGGTGGAGCCTGATGCCGAGCGAGAGGGAGGGAAGAGGTGGCCATTTCTGGAGTCGTGTAGCTCAGTGGTTAGAGCACTCGCTTTGCAAGTGAGAGACCTGAGTTCAATTCCAGGCAGAGGGCGAAACCTTGGGCAAGTTTCCTTACTCCACACAGAGCCTAATAATAATCCCTCCAAAACCAAAAACAATAATAAATTGGTTATTTTCAATCTACGACTGTTTGTGGGACATTGCTGTGCGCAATTGACTGCTGCGTTCGCCCACAAATATACATTCAATTCATTTTACAGTATATTCTGTGAAGCGCTTTGGGACGTCCTCCCGACGTGAAAAGCGCTATATCAAATGCAAGGATTATTATTATTATTATTATTATCAGCACCGGCGAAGGGTAAGGTCTTCAGTTGTGCCTACGGTTACCTCCCCCTCCCCCCGGCTCTGCCACTGTC